TTTTTTTAGTCTACCCTTGGCTTCGTTGCTCTGGTGATCAGCACGCTCCACACCTTGACCTATGGCTGGACAAGAGCCTTTGATGAAAACCAGTACAAGTTTTACCTGCCTCCCACTTTCACCCTCACTCTCCTGGTACCATGCACCATAATCCTAGCTAAGCTCTTTTTCAACCTTCCTTGTATGAGCCAAAAACTGCAGCGCATCAGGAGTGGGTGGGAGCGGAGCAGGTATGTCAAATTCACGTTGCAGAGAGCATCTGGGGAATTTTCCAGTGGAGAAAGCAGCAGCACTGTGTGATGCTGGACCTCTGTTTCCATTACAATTGTGAAGAAGCATTCTGATTCTGTTTTTATTGTGTGCGTGGTTTTTTTTTTAAAGCCTATTTGGGATCATTAAACAGTGGGCGATATCTTGTTCCAGGAGAAAGTTATCAAATAGAGTAAGCTTACGCATTGAGAATACACTGATAATTTCCTAGGTTATAAAAAGGTTGCCTTAAAACATCGGTGCAGAATTTTCAGTTCTACCATTGAAACATACATAAGGGAAACAAGCATTCTGCTCTTTCAACACAAATGGAACACTAGAACTATTTTGTTTCTCTCTGATGGCAGTCTTTTTTTTTTCTTCATGTGGCTGCAATCAAACACACACTCATGAATAACATTTGGACTTATTTCTGAGCAGGAATTACTTTAGCTGCTTCTACAGGACATTTAGTATGCTAATGTTGTTCACTGATAAGATTAGCTCAGGAGATTCTCTAGCAAACGAAAGATGTTTAAATTCTGTGAAACTGACTTTTCAGCTATATCCAACCCTTTATCAATCAAACAGTGAGAACTGATTCTCACAAATAACAAACATCTAGAGCTGAAGAAGCTTCTTGGATGAGAAGCGAAATGTCTTCAAAGAAAAGCAAAGTCCAGTTGCCTCTTGAAAAAGCACGTTTGGGACACCCACGACCTGGATGTCTGAGACTCTCTATAGACAAACATCTAGTTATTAAAGAAAATACTTTAATTCACAGGAGAAGGGGGATCAACTGTACTGCCCAGAAGTTAGTCAATGGAGGTTGGGGAGCGTTATTTTAAATACCTTGCTGCTACTTATGTAGCAACTGTGCTTTAATTCCTTCCACTTGTTCCAAAACTTTTCAGTATAATGTTATTTCTATATACAACATGGCAGGGGGCAAAGAAGCTTTGGGGCTGCAATATCAGCTGTTATGGAGACAGAATTAAATATTTTATATATCTACACATAACTGCAGCATATTAGACACATTTCTCTTACATGGACAAATTCACACGTAGGTTATTTGATTCTTCTGAGTGAATGCAACTGTAAGTATACCATAGATTCAGGCTGGTATCCAGCCTGTAATCTGAAGACCAGGTGTGCTCCCTTGGTGTGGTTATAGGGAGAGAGGGAGGAAAGGAAGGAAGGAAGTTACTTCCATCTCTTTCAAAATCTTGGGAGATCACCAGGTCTCCTAAAATGTTGGCATCCTTGCGTAGAACCTAATGAGCTTTAAAATATAATCTCATGGTAATCTGAGATTGGATCTGTTCTTGTGCAAAAAAACCCCACAAAAACAAGTTGTTGTTCACAGATTACATTACTGTACACTCACTGCATTACAATGGCCTTGAAAAGCATTTAATGACATAGTGAATCCAGATAGATAAGCATTTTGGAACTGCTGCTCTAGATCAGCAGCCTTTTAGCACTTCAATCAGTTAGGTAAAATAAACTTGGGATTCCTTTTACACTTGGTATTAGCAAAAGCTGGTCTTCCGTTCTAAAGAGCTGGCCCTCAGGTGGGCAGTCATCTGCTGTTAGACGTATTGTAGTTACGCCATTCTGAATATTTTGTCCTGCGTCTTTACCCACTAGCTCTGTCATTCTCTTGTTTCCTCATTGTCTCAAGGCGTGGGGTAGCATAGAACAGTGGTTCTCAACCTTTTTAATGCCGCGACCCCAACTGATCGTAAGTCGAGGACTAAACCGGTCGTAAGTCGAGGACTAAACCGGTCGTAAGTCGAGGACTACCCAACCGGTCGTAAATCGAGGACTTTCCCTGCCCGGGAGCGCCACACATGCGTGGTTCCACCCCCTGCGCCGGCCGAGGCGTAGCTGGCAAGCGGCAGAGACGGAGCAGGCTGACCACCAGCTGGCCCAGCCCAAGGGACGTAAGGCACCCGCCGGAAAAGGGAAAAAAATGGCGGACAAAAAAAATGGCGGACAGCCTTGCTTGGCGACCCCCATGAAATGGTCGATCGACCCCAAATGGGGTCCCGACCCACAGGTTGAGAACCACTGACATAGAAGGAAGGGCTTGCTTTTCCTGAATAATTTGAGTAAACTGCTTAGAACGGGTCCCCAACCTCCATGGCTAGTTAGGAACCGGGATGCGCTGCTGGAGGTGCACGGAAGGCACGTCTTCCACCTCCAACCATGCGGCAAGTCTGCAGGAGTCGGTGCTGGGGCGGGAGAGTGGCGGTCCAGAAGCTGTCTTACCCAGTGCAAAGGTCCTCCGGGCACGTGAGCTTCCTCCTCTTCCCCTCCCGGCAGCACAGCTGGGCTGCGCTCTCTTCATGCAGCTCTCCAAGTTTGCAAGACAAGCACGAATGCAACCGGGGGTTCCCCCAAAGCTTTGTTAGAGGGAGACTCCCCCCAAGGTATGTGTATGTGTCTTTTCCTCAGGGTGCAAATAGGAGCAGGGAGAAGCTACCTTTTACCTTAAGCACTGCGTCTCCAAGGGAATCCCTCTCTCGTTTGCATCTTGTCTTAAGAGTGCTGGGCTCCATTGCGCTTCAGCTGGAGTTTTTTTTTTCCTTTTGTTTTGATGCTCCAGGACGCCTTGTGTTTTGGCAACATCCTGCCTGCTTTTCGTGACGCGCACACGTGTTTAAAAGGCTTTCACTACTTGGAAACCGAGCCTTTGCAATCTGAGGCAGCTGCATATTTTGGGTTTCTTTGCAAGGAGGCTTTGTGCTACGCCGAGTTGGTTTGGTCTCTCTTGTTTGTTTTTTAAGGTTTTCTCAGCACTTCTTCCTGCTACCTCTTCCTCCTCCTCCTCCTCCTCCTCTTCCCCCTCCTGGCACTCCAACCAGGCTCACACTCCTTTCTTCGTACAGCTCTCCAAGTTCGCAAGCCAAGCAGGCTCCTACCCGGCTTGCAGTGGGGGAGGGTGAGGGAGAAGCTACGTTTTCCTTTAAAGTTAAAGTTCCCTTAGCAGGGGTCCTCAACCTTGGCAACTTTAAGACTTGTGGACTTCAACTAGCTGGCTGAGGAATTCTGGGAGTTGAAGTCCACAAGTCTTAAAGTTGCCAAGGTTGAGGACCCCTGCTAAAGCCTCCAAGAGAATCTCCCTCTCTCATTTGCACCTTTTCCAAGATTGCTGGCCTTGTTGAGCAGAGTTGAGCTGGTTTGCTCTCTAATTTTCTCAGCACTTTCCTCAACAACGTGCTGGGTTTTTGGTTTGTTTTGCTGGAAGGCTGAGTTAGGATTGTCTCTTCCTTCCCTTCTAATCTCGAAGAGAAACACTATACCAGTGATGGCGAACCTTTTAGAGACTGGGTGCCCAAACTGCAACCCAAAACCCACTTATGCATTGTCGGGTGCCGGGTGGGTGTGGCCCATTGGGTGGGAGTGGCCCATTGGGTGGGAGTGGCCCATTGGGTGGGCGTGGCTGCGGTGGTAACGGCAGACTGGGTGGGACTAAAAAGTTCAATCAATCAATTCCAACTTTGCAAGATTGTTTTTTCCCCGCGAGAAGTTGAAATTGACTGATTGATTGAACCTTTTTTTTTTTTGCACACGGCGGCGGAGGCCTAAAGCGAAAAGGTTTTATAAAATCCAGCTGAAGGCCTAGGACTGGGGCGATGGCGCGTGTGCCCACAGAAAGGGCTCTGAGTGCCGCCTCTGGCACCCGTGCCATAGGTTCGCCACCACTGCACTATACTGAACCATTGAACAGTGCAGACGGCGGTCATTCACACCTCTTTCTGCTCCCCCTCTCTTTGGGGGTTTCTTCTGGAGCAGAAGCAGAGCGACTCTTTCAGTGAAGGTTTCCGTCTTGTGTTCTGATTTTCTTCCAGAGCAGAACAATAAAGCCTCTTCCTGTGAAAGTTTTTTTCCATGCCTTTATTCTGATTCGCCCTCCCCACACACACACACACACACCCAGAAAAAGAAATCCTCTTCCAGTGAAATTTTCCCTGTGTGTTTATTCTGATTTTCCTCTGGAGCAAAATCATCTGGTGGCAGGCCTTGAGTCAGAATCCCACACTTATGTTTAGTCTGTGCGTGGCCTGACCATTATTTCATTTACCACTTCTGTCTGTGCCTCTTTTCTGAACTGCACACTTGTCTCAGTCACAGTTTTGGTAAGCCCACACGTTAAACCTAGCCAAAATGAGTAAAAAAAACAAACTTCACTGGAGAGCTTCTTTGAAAAGGGGGAAAGACCCAGTGACGAGACAGCAGAAGACTCTAAGACTGCCAATAAAAGGAAATCTACATTTAAAAGAAAATACCAAGAGTCTTACTTAAATTACAGGTTCCTTGCAACAGGTGATTCACGTACTCCAAGCCCGCTTTGTATAATATGTGGTGGCCGGCTATCCAATGAAGCCATGAAACCTTCAAAAGTACTTCACCACATGGAGACCAAGCACCCTATATTTAAAAGACAAGCCTTTGGAGCTTTTCAAAAGAAAAAAAAATGTGAACGTGAAGAACAGAAGCAATTATTGCAAGGCCACCACTTCAGCAAATGTGTCTGCAACAGAGCATCATTCTTCGTGGCTAATCGCATTGCTGAAGCTAAGAAGCCTTTTACTATTGGTGAAGAGTTGATTCTGCCTGCTGTTAAGGACGTTTGTCGTGAAAATTTAGCAGAGGTTGCAGTTCGAAAGGTGGCACGTGTTCCTCTTTCAGCTAGCCCAGGGGTAGGCAACCTTGGCTCTTTTATGACTCATGGACTACAACTCCCAGAATTTCTGAGCCAGCATAGCTTGGAAACCTCTCCCTTTCCCCTCAGCATGGCTGGCTCAGGAATTCTGGGAGTTGAAGTCCACGAGTCATAAAAGAGCCAAGGTTGCCTACCCCTGGGCTAGCACCGTAACTAGACAAATTGATGAAATAGCAGAGAATATTGAGGCACAATTGTTAGAGAGGATTACTAAGTCACCACGGTACACAATCCAGGTTGATGAGCCTACTGATGCTGACAACAAGGCAACAATGCTTGTTTTTTTGTGCGATATATTTTTCAGGAGGATGTGCATGAGGATACGTGATGTGCACTTTTGTTGCCAACCAACACCACAGCTGCAG